AGAACAGCAGGCTAAACATAAATCGGTACTCTCCTCTCTCCTTATAATGCCAGCCTTTAAAATGGATGTGTGCATAATCAAGAGTTCAACCTCCTCCAGGACCACCACCTTTTCTTAATCTATAGTTTAAGAAGTAGACCTGACAGCTCCCTCCCAGAAGGAATGGCCTTTCCAGCTCCCACCAAGCCAAGTGAATGCAAATCTAGAAGCTTTGTACTCTAAAACATTAATTTGGTACTTACAACGTTAAGGCAGACCAAGTTCTTTCTTGTGTGGGCAAAACAGCCCTTTTGGATAATGAACAAAATATCTGCCACCCAGTTGTTGAGCCAACAGGTTGGATTTTCTCTGAAAACTATTCTGATTTGCAAGAACTGGCAAACAATTCCAAAATCAAAAGCATGTTACTTGTCTCCTCCATTTCTGAGTCTTACCAAAGAGAGAATCCTCCCCTTGCTCCAGCCCGAGCGGGGCAAAGGCTTCCACTGAACACAATGCTGTGATAATGCTGAAGGAAGGGCTCCAGGTCTGCTTTCCGTCCTATTGTCTCATTCTGTCAGCTCCCACATCTCTCCAAATCCAGGCTTAATAATTTACGGCGGAAAGACATTTAATAAATAAGCAGTAAGAGTGGAGCTGTCAGCACTGCACAATGGGATTGTTTGCCTCTTCCTGCTTGGCGTCAGCACCGACTCTCCCAGCTCGCTTCAACTGAGACAATCCCATTTGCTATTTTCATAAAATTAGTTCCTCTGCAGTTTCTATTAATCAGAACATTCTTTGGAGAGAATTATACTGGGATTTTATCACCATCTGAGTTCAATCGTTCTGTGAAGCTGATGAATTTTTATCACCTCTGAGTGGCAGAGAGAGTGAAACTTGGGCTGTGGGTGTGAGTGGGCAGAGTCCTCCTTTGCTGTCACTGAGGCCTGCCAGTCCAAAGACCCAGCTCAGTGTCTTCCATCACACAGCTTAGCAGCTTTTTCCCTCAAACGTATCTCCTTTCGTGTGTAATAATTCTCAGTCTCCTTGGAATCATGGACTGTTCTACAAAAGCTGTGGATTCTCTCCCCAGAAAAGCCCACATATGCATATAGGCGCTAAACCTTTCCAGCTCAGTGGATTTGTGGACGCTCTTGCTGCCCTCACATATACAGCTCAGCCAGCAGACTCCAGAACAAAACTCAGGCAACCAACCACCTTAGGCTAGAATAGAAACTCAACTGCAAATTCCGTTTTTGAAAGAGAAAGGGAAACAAGGGCCTTTTAAATAGAAAGAATGTAAAAGTGAGAAAGTTTTTCATAAAGGTGGCTGTGGGTTTTGTTGTTGTTGTTGTTGTTGTTTTGTATTTTTTATAGTACCGGAGATTGAACTCAGGACCCTGTGCTTGCCAGGCAAGCACTTATTCTACTGAGCTAATTCCCTGGCCCTGTTTTAGTATTTTGCACACCTGAAATTATATCAAAAATTGAAATAATCATCTTTAGCAAAGTTTCAAAAGTTACCATTGAAAAAAAAATTTTTAAGTTACCATTGTTCCGTACATAATTTCCAAAGTCTATTTCAGGTCCAACAATCTATCACACCTGATTCATTAGAGATAGCTAAGGTCACAAGAAGCAAACCATGAAGTTTCTTAAAGTTTCCAGAAGTAAATATTTTAGGCAGTGGACCTATGGTTTCTATGACAACTGCTCAATTTTGCTGTTGTGCAGAAAGCAGCCATAGACAGTACAAAAATAAATAATCATGGCTATGATACAGTAAAACTTCACTTATGGACACTGGGATTTGAATGCCATGCAATCTTCACATGCCACTGAGTATTTTTCTCCCCCCTCCCAACTATTTAAAATGTAAAAATTGTCCTTTGCTGGAAACATGTATGAAAAGCAGACAGCAGGCCAAGGAGGCTCAAGGCCAGCTCACTGAAGCCTGGTTCCTTGCATCTGCTAAATAATGTGTTACAAAAATCATGATGCAATTGCACGACCTCAGAAGGCCAACAACTTGGCTTCAGTGACTGACCATGGTACTGCAGGCAACTTACGCAGTCTCCCAGTTAGCCAAATGGAACAGTGGTAACTTCTGAAACTGCTAAAAACAATTATTTCAGTTTTTGGTATACTTTTCAGGTGTGCTAAATACTAAAACAAATAAAAAACCCACCACATATGAGGAAATGGATACCAAACATCCAGGGCTGCCTACCATGGTGACGGCTATAAACAAGCAAGAAAACTTTACATCCTCTCTTGAAATCATTTCACGCATTCCATAACCTTAATGGCCTTTTTTAAAAACTTTCCTTTATCAGACAAAATAGCACATGATTTTATACATTTATGAGAAGACAAAGAAACATTGCTTTTTGGTGTTGGTCTCTCTTACCACAGCCCCATGATACTGGAGATTGAATCCAGAATGTTTGCACTGAGCTACATCTTGTCCTTTTTTGATTTTTTTTTTTTTTTTTTAATTTTGAGACAGGGTCTCACTAAGTCATTAAGCCACGAAGAAAATCGAAAAGGATTCCTTCAGAAGGGCCACTCTCAATAAATATTATGGAAAAAAAAAGGGGACCACTCACTCCAGTAATCCATTGTCTTCTGCTGTTTCCAAGGACTAGAGTCTGAATGAGAATTGGGGGTGGACGAGGTGTCACCCCCAAGGAGGGCGACTAAACACACTGCTGTCCACAGAACCTCCGTTTGTCTTGGGCCCTGTCTTCTTGTCGTGGCTGTTGGTGGTCGCAGGACCCTGACCCAGGTGCTTACCTGATCCATAGTTCAGTCACCTCTAGGCCTCTCTTGTCAGTTTTCCCTGAACAGGGCTTAACTTCACCATCTTCCTTCTCAGTCTCCTAAAGTGTAGAGATGATAGGTATGTACCTGCTACACTCTGGTTGATGTTATTTTCTTTGATTTACTTGTCTAGGAGAGAAGAAAATTATAATCTAACAAATGGTGTACATACATGTATGATGTTTATATATATTCTACAAGTACATACACAGCAGAGGTAGGAAGTAATTTTGTAAAGTACTGTATAAAACTTGCCAAACAGAAGACAACTTTCCAAGGGACAAAGGTGAGATGGCCAGTTAATCTGTCTCCTCTGGAATGTGCACACAACTGCGAGTTCCCAGAAGACACAGCCCTGTGGTGACAGCACGTTACTCCTTCATTTCACTTAGCCAGAAAACAAATTCCTTCCCCCAATTAAGTGATGAGGTTAGAGTCAAAGAGCTCAGAAGAGGAATCGCTTCTCATGAGAGAGAAAACCTAAGAGGCACTACATGGAAGACGTAAAAAGGGCCAGCCAAATAGCTCAGTGGATTAAAGTGCCTGCAAGCAGGCACAGTGGCTGGGGGTTCCATCCCGGAGCCTGCCTTGCTGGCCCTGTCCCCAGGGCGCACTGAGATGGCAACTGAGACTGGGCATGGTGGTGCACACCTGTGATCCCAGCTCTTGGGAGGCTGTAAACAGGCAGATCACTATGAGTCTGATCCAGTAGTGAGACCCTGTACACCCTGTACACCTTTCCCTAAAAAATACAAAAACAAAAAAGACATAAGAAGAGCATGCATCTTTTCATTCTGAATTTATAAAGACACTGAAACCAGCTTGGTCATTACAAGTGTAAAGAGATTAACTTTCTCCATCTCAAACTTTTTTTTTTTTTTTGGTATTTTAGTATAGGGTCTACAGGGTCTCACTACGTAGACCCGACTCGTAGTGATCCTCCTGTGTTCAGCCTCCCAAAAGCTGGGATTACAGGCGCATGCCACCATAACTAGTCTCAGTTGCCATCTCAGCGTGCCCTGGGGGCTGGGCCGGCACGGCAGGCTGGGGATTGAGCACTGGCCACTGCTAGGCAGATGCTTTAATATGCTGAGGTATTTGGCCGGCCCTCAAGTCAAACTTTTGACTACTTTCTACACCCTGAGTTGAGAACTGGGTCTCAGCATTTGAGCAACACGACATTATTCTTCACTACCTGTCTCCATATTAGCCTGCATATGCCATTGCTCATTCTTGTCTCAGTCTCTGTTCAATTTTCTCGCATTTCTGCCCTGCCCTTCCCATTCTTATCCGTATGCTGGAGTCCAGCATTATTCTTGTTCTAGCAGAGACATCTGCATTAACTCCAGCCAAAACAAAACGTTCCTGAAGCAGTACAAGTGAAAGTGTCTAAAAAGTACACGAGGCTCTCATACTTAAAGCCTTATTATCTTTTGGAGCAATCAACTATAAATTAGTTTGGGCCCATTGTTAGGACTTGCTTTAAAACTCCTTTGTCACATCATACTCTCTGTGTGTGTGTGTGTGTGTGTGTGTGTGTGTGTGTGTGTGTGTGTCGGGTATCGAACTCAGGACCTCGAGCTTGCCAAGCAGGCGCTTATGCCTGCTGAGCTATCTCCCAGCCCACATCATATTTCTGAGGTGTCCTTACGGTCTCAACAGCACGCCTTATACTTAACACTCAACTCCAGCGAAACACATTAATCAAGATACTGGCTTTCGTAAGCACACAGCTCTACACTGGGCGTCAAGGTTAAATCGTTAAACACAGAAGAAATCCTTGGTTAGTTGCAGTAGAATAACTCAATGCCTACAACCAATGAAATTCAATCCTCTTCTTCAATTTCATTCATAAAAGCTATGATTCAGGAACTACATTGGGTAGAAGGTTCGGTCTGCTCTGAAGGTTAGCCGCACCACACTGCAGAGCAATCTCCACGGAGACGCAAAAATAGCAGAAACCGCTTTCGACGGCCCAAACAACCCGCGCTCAGCTGAGCTGACAGAGGGCTCAGAGCGTTAGGGGGGATGGTATGATTGACAGGGAATGGGGCGTGGAGAGGCGCCACTACCCAATCGCAATGGAGGCTACTCACCTGACCCACCAACACCGGCCAATCGGAAGGCGCGACGGAGGACGACGTGCCCACCCTCCACGCCCGGCGTCGCCCGGAGCCGAGGCAAACGTAGATTAATAAACCGAGAGCTGGGCTTTGAAAGAGCGGCTCTGATTAGCCAATCCGGGCTCACCGGCATGAAAGCCCACTTGTGATTCGTCCTAAGTGGACCAAAGCCCGGGTGACTAGAACCGAGCGGACCTCGAGGTGTGAGTCCGGGCCTGGGGTGCTGGGGAGTTGGTTACGGGGTCCGGGAGCAGAAAAGCGGAGGGAGGCAGTGGAAGAGCCGGGCTCAGGCCGCGGGCGGGCGGTGCGCGGATCCACCGGACCACGCTGTCCCCGGGACTAGTAAATCCCTTGGGGCCGCCGGGGAAGACAGTTTTGTCCCGTGCTTTTAAGAAGTAAAACGCCAGTGCCGGATTGCGGTACCATTGGTCCAAGTGAAACCTTAATCCGTCTTCATCTAGGAGAAATTGGGAATGAGCTGCTGCTAAGGCGTGGGCCGCGTTTTCCTCGGGCCCCTGTGACCCCGCAGGGCCGGGAAGCAGCGGGGTCCTCCCACCCCTGGGCGACTCAGACCGCACCCCGGCCAGAAAAAGGGGGCAAAGTCGGGGTCGGGACCCAGGGAGCTCCTTTTCTGCCTGTGTGTTGACAGCGAATGTTACATCGGTGGTATTCCAGTAGCTTGGCATTTAATTATCCCCTCTGTGTTACTTTATTAACAAAAATGAAGGCGTTTTCGAAATAATTTTCAAGTTCTAATGATAGTGAAGTATTTATAGTAGAAAAATAAAAGTGTGAAAGTCCGCAAATTCTATTTTAAGCTTTAGGACAAGCCACGAAGAAAATCGAAAAGGATTCCTTCAGAAGGGCCACTCTCAATAAATATTATGGAAAAAAAAAGGGG